TTAGGAGCTTATGATCTGTACTTTTCCTAGGAAGGCCTCATCAGAGCATATAAACAAAAGAATCGTTGATGTGGCTTTCAAGAACTTTTCTTGAGTGAGGTGAGATTCAAACCCAGGCTTCCTGTTTTGAAGTCCACTATTCTTTGTATTTCCCCACTTGGACAAAGAGTCTCATGTAATCTTTGTAAATGCCATGGAGAGATGTAGGATCAATTAATGTAAAATTAGATGGTTTCAAAACTTCTCAAATGATTGGAGATAAAGAGCAGTCATTTAATGACTTGATTTCAACCTCAGGGCAGAGCTGCCTTTGGAGAACTGTCCTTGGTCCTGTGCTATGCAACATTTGTATTAGTGATGAATCAAAATATAAATGGCATGCTTGTCAGATTTACAGATCACTTTAATCTGAGAGAGAATGACACCATGGATGACAGTTTGTATCTTTAAAAAGATTTTTATAGGCTCAAATGATAGATTGGATTTAATAAGTTGAAATTCAATAGGGATAAATATAAAATCTTATACTTATATACTTAGTATATACTTAGTCTGAAAAAAATCAATTTCACAAGTAAAGGACAGTAAAAGCATAGATATATAAGTTTATGTGGGAAAGACCTGGGGGTGGGTTTTACTGGACTACAATCCTAGTGTAAGTAAACAGTGAGCGGCATGATAGCCAAAAAAAGCTGATGTAGCTTTGGATAGCATTAAAAGGCATACGGTGACAACATGAGAGAGGGGATAATTTAGCTGTTCTCTTTTCTGGTCACATTACATATATATTTGTATGGTCAGCAATGCTGTCCTTATCATTATAAGTCTTCAAATAGAGCTTAGATGACTACTTCTCAGAAATGTTACAGAGCAACATTCTCCTTTAACTCTTCTTAGAATTTCTAGCTTTCCTCAAAATACTGCTTAAATGCTCCCTCCTATATAAGACCTTTTCTGATCTCTCCTATTACTTAATGTTCCCTTTCTCTTACTTGCATATATATATCTACAGTATTCTCTGATAGAATGTAGCCTCCTTGAAGGCAGGAGCTCTTTCCTTATTGACTATGAATCTCTAGGCCCTAGCAGAATATTCTGCACATAGAAGGTGCTTAATTAATGCTCATTTAATTGAACAGAAATGAATAGAGAGGATTCTGGTTACATCATATAGATTATATTAGGATTTTTATTGCATATATGTAGATCTTGAAGTGAAGCAAAGGTCATCCAATCCAATGTTCCTCATTTTACAGATAAGGAAATTCAGGCCTATGGAGGTGAAGTGATTTACCCGAGTTATTGTAGGTAGTAGATGACAGAGGTGGAATTTGAACTCAGGTCCTATGACTCCAGGGCTAGTACACTTCCCATAGCCACCAGGTGATTTGACTTCTAAGGCCTTTCCAATTTTGAGTTCCATGATACTCACTTTACCCTTCTCCCTAAGGAGTTTCTCAGGAAAGTATTCTTTGGGGAATATTATGACATATGAGATTTGATACATGATATGATAAGTATATGAGCCTCACATACATATAATCAGTTCATAAAATTACTCTAAATGGCGCTCCCTTCATGAGTTATTAGTATCAACACTAAAGGGTCATTTTAAAATCTCAGAGGAATTTTCTATTCTTTCCTCTCTCTCACCCCTTACATCTAAGCAACTGTGAAGTCCTGTTGATTCTACCTCTATACTATAGTCCCCTTTTGCCTCTTCCTCTCTACTCATTCTACTACCACCATTCATTGCCTCCTACCTGAGCTAAAAGAACTGGTCTATATACGTTCAGCTTCTCTTTTCTCTAGTTCTCCGTTTACACAGCTGCAAAATATGTCTCCCAATGTACCAGTTTGACCATTTCACTCCTCTGCTCATAAGGTGCAATGATGCCTCATTGTCGATAGTACAAAGAGTTCCTTCCTCATCATGATGACTAGAACCCTTGTATAATGCCAGTCATATTTAACACTTGTGACATATATGAAGAAGCAGCATGATATAGTGGAGAGAGAGCCATTTTCAGAGTCAGGAAGACCTAAGTTCAAATCTCACCGCTGGTGCATCCTGGCTTTGTGACCATGGGCAAGTGGTTCAACCTTTCAGGCAAGTCTCTAAGGCTGTACATTGCAGAGCAGTTGCTGATTTGCATTGGAAGATGGATTTTCTTCGAAAAGATATCCACAGAGTGATGAAATCGTAAGTCTAGTAGACACAAAACAAAACAAAATCTTTAATGACTTTTTTAAAGTCACTGAACTCATAACTCCACTTGGGGCAACTAGGTGGCACAATGGATAGAGCACCAGACCTGAAGTTGGGAAGACTCTTCTTCCTGAGCTGAAACATGGCCTCAGACATTTACCAGCTGTGTGAACCTGGGCAAGTCCCTTAACCTTGCTTGCCTCAGTTCCTCATCTGTAAAAATGAGCTGGAGAAAGAAATGGAAATGGCAAATCATTCCAGGATCTTTGCCAAGCAAAACCCAAACTGGGTCATGAAGAGTTGGGCACAACCAAAACAATTTTAAAAAATATCAAAGTGCCAGGCTAGGCATGGGGATACCAGAGACAACAATGAAAAACATTCCCTGCCCTCAAGGAACTAACATTCCACTAAACTTCTTACAGTCTGAACTGCTCCCAGCTCCTTAGACTTGTACAGGCCATCCTCAATGCCTAGTACACATTTTTCCCACATAATTTCTTTTAACTTTTCTCTTTCTTCGAGAGGCAATGGAATACAGTGTTAAAAGCATGTTGAACTGGCAAAGAGACTCTGGTTTGAATTCTGACTCTGACAGTAACTAGTTGTGAAATGGTTGAATAAGTTGTAAGACATGAAGGCAAAGGAGTACTATTGTGCTGTAAGAAATTAGGAAATAAATGCTTTTAAAAAGACATGGAAAGATTTATAGGAACTAAGGAAGAATGAAATAAGTAGAACCAGAAGAATAATTTACAAAAATGTTTTGAGGACTTTTATAAGCTGATGAAGAATGAAATAAGCAGAACCAGGAGAACAATTTATACAACAATAATAACACTGTAAAAAAAATTAACAAATTTTCTTTCAAAGCTATAAGAACTATGATCAATACAATGATCATTCATGATTCCAGAGGACTGATGATGAAACATGCTATCCAATACAGACCTGATAGACTTAGGGTATAGAATGAGATTTATATGTGTGTGTGTGTGTGTGTATATGTGTGTATATGTATGTATGTATATATATATATATATATATATATATATATATATATATATATATGTATGTATTGTTTACAGCCACTGAAGGATCTGTTTGCTTGACTACACATATTTGGCATGAAAAAATTACTTTTCTTTTTTAATACGGTAGTGGATGGGAGAGAAAGCAGATTTATGTTAATATTAAAAATAGGAGTACTACAGATGTACAAAGTTGTATGCACATTCAGATAAGATCATTGTAGTCTTACTTTTACTTAAGTTCTTCACTTTGTCATGAAATAGGAGTAATCTGTAAATTTTTGTGATATAAAAACAAAACACATCAATAAAACTTTTTTTTGATGGATTCATCTCCTTCCTTTATGCCATGAACAGCAGCTCACAAAACAGAGTTATGTCTATGGTTGCATTTATGCAGGAAGCTGATGGACAGCCAGAAGGCTCAGCTTGTACCAGTGAAATATAAAACACCTGGAAGCAGGTCTCTGGCATGTTGGGTACATCTTAAATGGAAGATCCATTAGAGAATCCGAACAAACATTACAGAGGCACTGGTGGGCTGTAATTTGCATTCATGGCAGAGAATACACATGCAGATGAAAGCACATAGTCATGAAATTATTTAAGAATATAGATGTGTGGGTAATATTTTCCCCAATTGACTTTTTTTCTTCTCCATTTTAAAAGCAAGCCCAGGACGAGATGATGCCCTTTTCATATTAGCGATAGGAATAGCTGGCACCTAGTGGATAGATCGCAGAACTGCAAGCACTAATAATAGAACAGAAAGTTTCAGCATTGGGGTTTGTAAAAAACGATGACAAAAAACAAACAAACAAAAAAAGCAGAATTAGTAGTTATTTCATATTTATTAAACACTGACAAAATGCCCAATTCCAGAGTATGTGGCATAGAGAAATATATTTGACTCTCTATGCAAAGAGCACATAATCTGAGAAAAAAAAGATACAAAAGAAGGGAAAGAAGGGGGGGGCATGGAAAAAAGGTGTAGAATTTTGTATTTGTTAAAGTTAAATTAACTCCAGGATAATTTGATTCAAAAACTAGAAATATTCAGTCAATATATTTCTCATCATGTATAAATGATTATTTTAAAATTTTTAATTTTTCATATTTATCAGGCTTTCAACCTAAGGCTCTTCTCTTTTCCTAAATGAGGAAACTTTTGCCCGTAAGACTGCCTTTCGTTTGCCACAAAATACCTGCAGTGGCTTCAGCGAATCATTTCGAGACGAGACTCCCTGATGTCCTGCTCCCTGCCGTCTCCCCCCAAGCACCTCATTTTAAAATTCAAGCCCTGGACTCTCTTGTATCCCTTCACCTGGGCATTCTGCTTTAATCTTGGGAGCTCCTGCCCGTACTACACTGGCTTATCTCTCGTTTTCTCAATTAGTGTCTGTTTACCAGAGCTTTGAACTTAGTGCTGTCTTTTAGCCACAGGATCTTCGCAGGGTATACGAGAGCTGGCAAGTGTTCCTTCCTCTCTTCTCCCTTACTCACCCCCATCCCAAGTGAAAGAATGTGAAGTTAACGTTTTTCAAATATCTCAGCAACTAGGTAACTGAAAGAACAATTCCCTTTCTGGACTTTTAGAGAGAGATTCTCATTTGTATAGCAAAGACTACATTAAAAAGAAGTGTAACGTAGTAACTTCCCTGTAAGAGCTGGTGGGTAATGCTACCCTAAATAGAACCAACTCCCACTGGCTGGCTTTTGTGCAAGAACTAATTCTTTCAGGTGCAGATCTATATAAAACCCAGAGGGGATTGGAGGATGCACAGGCAACTTCAAGCCCGTTCTGGTGCAGAAGGTAATGACGACAACTCTTTAAACTAACAACTCGGAATAATTGTTCTAAGCACTAACGAAAACATTTCGGAAAACCTTTCAGATCTGGCAGCTGTTTCTTAAACGCTGAAATTGACTTTGTAAACTGATAATATGGGACTAATGCTTAGCAAGAGAGGGTCAGTAATTTTCTCAGCTGCTTTTCAGCGGATTATCAATATGCACCTAGTTTTGGAGATGGAAAATAAATTTCACATATTATTGGGTATGATGAAGGAGGGAATTATTCTTTCATTCCACTTCTACACTAGTCTGTGAAATGGCGCTCTCTTCATTGAAATACAATTGAAAAATTTGTATGCATTTTATGGACAGAGTCTCATCGTGATGGATGAGATTTTTATGCTTGACTCTAATCTTGAATATCTATCTTTTCTAATGTTTTAGCATTGTAAAAGAAACAAACCCGGAATGAGTAGGTATTTAATATTTATTAAGCACTGGTAAAATTCTCCGTTCCAGAACATGTAATATAGAGAAACACATTTGACTCTCTATGCAAGCAGCTACAATCTCAGAAAAAAAGATACAAAAGAAAAAAAGCAGGGAAAGGGGGCCAAGGAAAAAAGCTGTAGGATTTTATACTTGTTCAAGTTAACTCAAAAGACTTGGATTTGATATTTGATGAAGTTAAACAAATGATCAATCTAACTTGATTAACCCCTTCCTGGAGCAGGGTCCAACACTTTGTCTTCTGCAACTACAGAGGAAAGAATACTCTCCAAAGAGTAAATTGGGTGGTGGGAAAGGGGTATGGTTAGGAAAGAGGGAATGAAAGACCAGGGAAGGAAAAAAATCTGCTCCAGATAAAGGAATGGAGGGCTTTCCCCTCTAGAGTTAAGGATGGTCAGATAAATGAGAGAAATGGATGGGGCAATGAATTCACATGTCTGACAACTTTAAAGTGTTTTTCAAGCAATCTATTTTTTTAAGTGGTGTGGAGTTAGAGTGTTGGTTTAAGTATCATATGATATATTATTTCTACACAAATTGTACAGATATGGACCACCTTTGCTAAATAGTACTTTACTGCTAAAGGAAAGGTTGTTCAGTCTGTCTAGGTTGGACAAACTTTTTTCCTGATCAAGGTATTCAGCTTCTGAATTGACAGAGCCTCTCATGATATCCTTATGGGCAAGATTGAGAGATAAGGGCTAAGAAATAGTTTTCCATCAATTCTAGCAGTTCTTTAGTTGTCCTTCATGATGTTTTAATTGCAGTCATATCCATGGCAGGTAAGAGTAAAAGTGGAGCAGCATATTTTTAAGAAAGAATTTTGGCTTTTCCTTTGGAAGCTGTGTGGTTGAGATAGACAGTTACCTTTTTCACTTGTGCATCAGAAGGAATAAATTGATTTCTAAATACCTGGGATTCATGAGAGGATGCTCTCCTTAGTAGGTTATCCTAGTGTTTTCCGTACATCTAATGCACTTAGGTGGATTTGGAAATGGTTGAATGACTCATCCCCAAAGTTAAAGACTGTCAACATGAAGAAAGATCTCTTCTTGTTCTCTATAGTGGTGCAGGGTATCTGTTTTTGGCTTAATTCCGTTAAATATTTTTATCAATAATTTGGATGAAGATATAGATTGCATGCACATTGAATTTGCCGATAATATAAATAGTATCCAGAAAAGATTTTGACAGGCAAGGGTGATGAACTGACTGTAAAAAAGATGAAATTTGATAGAGATAAATACAAAGTCCTTCATTTGGGTTAAAAAATCTGCTTCATAAATTTAAAAAAGATACTTGCCACTCAAAATCCTAGGCACTGAAATATATGAAGGACCATCAGTTGATAGAGAGATTATATTTCTTTTACATGGTCTCAGAGGTCATGGCCTAGGTAGGAGCTATGGTTGGAAATGGCAAAGAGTGAGACTGTGACTTGATATAAGCAGCAACTTCCTAACATTTAGAGCTGTCCAAAAGTGGCATAGTCTACCTTAACAAGTAATTAGTTCCTCACAACTTGAGGACTTCCAGTGAGAGATGTTTAGAGGGGATTGTTGCTTAGGCACAAATTGGATTACATGATTTCTGAGGTCCCTTTCAACTCTGAGATTATGTGCTTCTGTGTTCTATGTTCTATCTTGTGTAAGGTTTGGCAGTTACCAATTAGTAAGCATTTGTTAAGAATCCATTATGTGCTAGGGCTAGGCACTGGGCAAAGTGCTGGGGAGACAGACAAAAGTGTAAAAGTTCCTATCCTCAAGGAGCTTAACGTCATATTGGGGGGAAAAAACGTGCACATATATAGAAAATACATACAACATTACTATGAGTGGGCATTAGCTTCTGGTGGCAATCAAGAAAACTTTATGTAGAAGGTTTGAGCTGAGTTTAAAGGAAAGTAGGGCTGAGAGACAGAGGGAAGGAGGGAATGCATTCTAATGATGGAAGGTAGGACAGTACCATAAAAATGGGCGATAGAGTGTAGTGCGTAAGGAACAGAGAGAAGGTCAATTTGACTTGACAATAGGGTATGGGAAGGAGAATAATATAAGACTGAAGTCAAATCCTGAAGGTCTTTAAATGTCAGATGTGGGAGTTTGTATTTAATCTTAGAGGTAACAGTTGTTAGATTTTATCAAGCAGTTGAGTAATTTGGTCAGGCCAATGCTTTAGGGAATTTTCTTTGGCAGTTATGTGAAGGATGGATTTTAAAGGGGAAAGACCAGAAGCTAGAAGACTAGGTAGGAGGTCATTGCAATAACAATAAAGCTAACATTGGCATCTGCTTAATGACCTAGGGAAAGCAAAAATAGTATACAGCATTATCATTTTCAAGAGTGCACCCATGGTGTTAACTGGACAAGGTAAAAATTAATTTATGTAAAACGTCTAGAATATTTCACTGGCTCAATCTGTCAATTCCAGTGAAAAATAGTAAGAAGTAAAAGTAAGGCAAAAATAACCCATACCAGGCTGGATGGATGATATCAGTCTCTTTTTCTTTATTAATTGTACAAAATAGTTGGCATTGCTCTTCAATGTTCAGGGAGGAGTAAAGCATTGTGGATGCTCCCCAAATTAGCTGATTTTTGAGAACAGTTTGAAAGCTGCCAGAAAGCAGTTTGAAGCTATCATCCATCTATATCTCTTCCTCATGGCAGCTAGGTGGTGCAGTGGATAGAGCACTGGCCCTGGAGTCAGGAGGGCCTGAGTTCAAATCTGGCCTCAGACACATGCTACTCACTAGCTGTGTGACCCTGGGCAAGTCACTTAATCCCAATTGCCCCCCCCACCAATAACAATAATGTATCTCTTCCTCTTAAAGAAATCACAAGAAGCTCTACCAAAGTCAAATGTCATTCAGAAGCTGAGCTCTAGGAGTAAGCTATGCCAGTGCCAGACTCAGCAAGCTTCCCTTTAGCAATAAGGCTGCCTTTGTACTATGTAGCAATAATGGTCCATATATGGATAACTATTTTTAACAGCAGGATCTGAGAGCTTTGTTTCAGAGATGACTAATCGAAGATGGCATCAATGATACACATTGCTGACTAGTTTATCTTAAGACTCAGTCCAAACTGTTACTAGAAATATGGCCCAGGAATCATCAATTTTCTCCAAAAGGATGGTGGATTTAAAGCTGGAAGCCCTGTGCCTTGCACATAAGAGCTTAATAAAAGAGGCTTAAATAAAATGGTTAAATTAGATTGAAGCAAACTGAGATCATAGGCTGTAAATTCCTTAAGGTCAGAGACTGTTTCATTTTTATATTGTATCTGCAGATATAGATATATAGATATCCATATCTATCTTGGCAATAGTAAGTAGGTCTTTAACAATTTTCTGAAATGATAAAATCATAGATTTAACATGAGGAAGAAACATCAGAGGTCATTTGGATTAATGCCTTCATTTTACAGAAGAGAAAAATGAAGGCTCAGATTCAGCCTCTGAGAGATCATCTTTTCTAAGCTAGACCTACATAGATGGTGCATTGGGTAGGGGACTGCCCCTGGAGTCGGGAAGACCTGAGTTCAAATGTGGCCTCTTTGAACTTGGGCAAGCTACTGTGAAGATTGAGAGAGACTTATAAATCTCTTAGCATAGTGTCTGGCATACAGTAGGAACTTAATAAATGTTTCCTTCCTTACTTTCTTCCAACTTCATATTATGGATGAAGGGTAAAATCCTGAGAGAGTAGTTGGATTGTCCAAGATCATGAGGGGAATAAGTAACAGAGAAGACATTTGAACTTTAGGTCCTCTGATTCTTAATATAGTACTCTTGGTCAGGATTACTAAGCCACATCACTGATAACCTCTTGCATTAGGTATCTTACATTGGAGTACATGATAGAGGAAAGACTTCATGCTAGAAGGGACCTCAGCAACCATTTTATCCAACACTCTCATTTTACAGATAAGGAAACCAAGGTCTAGGGGAGGGGAAGGAAGGAAGGGGAAAAGCATTTATAGAGTACCTACTATGTGTCAGGCATTGGGCTAAGTACTCTACAATTATTATCTCATTTGATCTTCACAATAACCCAGGGAGACAGGTACTATCACTACTGCTGCTGCTGCTGCTGCTGCTGCTGCTGCTACTACTACTACTACTACTACTACTACTACTACTACTACTACTACTACTTCTACTACTACTACTATTACTAGATAACATTTATATAGTGCTTACTATATGTTCCAGGCACTGTGCTAAGCACTTACGAATATTGTCTCATTTGATCCTGCACACAAATTCTGGGAAGTAGGAGCTGCTATTATTCCCATTTTACAAATGAACAAAATGAGGACCAAAGGGGTTAAATGACTTGTCCAGAGTCATACAGCCAGTTAAGTGTCTAAGCCTGGATCTGAATTCGACTTCAGTTCTTGAACTCAAATCTTCCTGATTCCAGGCCTAGTGTTCTATTCACTGTACTACCTGATTGTCTCTGTCACAGTACATGTACATTGGTACCCACAGTATATAGTACCAACTTATGTCCTCATCAGGGTATTCTCCAATAGGGAAAGATGGCACCCTCCCATTTCTATATAAACTGTTTGAAGAACTATCTCTGCAGGTTCACAATAGTCTAACCATGGGTCTATAAGTCAGGCTAAACATCCTGAGTTGTACAACTGACTGATCCTGGGTGTTTATGAATATACTGTTCAATTTTATATATGAAGATGCTTTTCTTCTGATCTTCACCTGAAAGGCCCTATGAGCCATTTGTATTTTCCAAAATGAAAACACATACATAAAAGCTGTCCTCTGGTTAGTGACAGTAGCGGCTTTTTATAGCTATAATTTCTAAAAATCATCTAGCAGGTGATGCAATATTCTGTTCAACTCAGCAAATGTTTTTCGAGCCCTTAAATGTAAAATGAGGCAGTATGACATTTGGAAGATCTGGGTTCAAGTCCTGATGCTCACATACTAGCTGTATATTATGGACAAATCACTTGATCTCTCAGACAACTCCCTAAGATTAGAAATAGCAAAGCAATTGTTGATCTGCCTTGGTAGAGGGAGTTACCTATATGAACCACATCACAAGTGTGATCTAAAAAACCACAAGATACTACCCTAGGTACCCTAAGAGCTACCAAATGAGGAGGATATGCCCACAGGATCTGAACCATACGCCTAATTTCTACACTTTCTCAAAGGATGCTATTGCTTAGCATTTTGGAATGGGCTGTGTTGATCCTTTTTTTTTTCTAGCAGATTCCCCACGTCTTTCCGTCCACCTAGAGTTTTTCTTTAAGTTCTTTAGACGACAGTTGTTCAGGGAACCTGCTATTCACTACTTGTTAAATATTTCCAACCCTGAGGAGACTAGATAGGAAAAGTCCTCTTTAATGCTAGAGGACTGTATTCTGACTTGATCATTGACAATCTGATGCTTATGTTTGATTTGAAGTGTGGGTGTATGGAAGACTGCTAAAATTGCTGGAAACCAATGGAAGTGAGCTGAGTTTCCCATCTGTATAGATAAGGACATCACTATTATTTTAGTGGAGTCAGATGCTACCCACTTCCCAATTACAGTTATATGAAATGCTAAAACGCTATTAATATTGATGACATTGTCATCAGAACTGATTTGGCAAAATGCAATAAAAAATAGTAGTCAGAAGAAAATCAACATGACCGAGGGTAGCATATATTTCCAACTGATGATTCAATTCAATACATATTTAGTAAGCACCTAGTGTGTGCCAGACATTATGCTAAGGATCTTACAATTTTATAGGGAAGACAACACAGGAGGTGCAGAGATTTGAGGAGCCAGGAAGGTGGGGGAATTAAGGGGGTACTTGGCACTGGAGGAAATTATTCCTTGGAGTAGAAACCAGGCAGAGCTGGAGATGCAAAATGGAGTGAGCTGAAAAGTCCTCTATCTGCCCTCTATATAGGAAAACTTTGGGAGGACTTTAAACTCTACCCTCCAGCCCTCTAATCAGTGGAGAGAGGAAGCTGAGGGAAGTGGTGTACACAGTTTGAGATGGTGATGAGATTAGAAGTGATGAGCTTTTCCTGGGAGGGGTATCAAGGAGTTGAAAGAAGGCAAAGATGATGATACAGAGCAGTGCCCAAGAATTTATCAACTGTGACAGCACTCTAAGGAATGGTGAGTCTATAGACAGATAAATTCTTGTAAGAGCACTTAGACTCATGAAACTGGCAAAAATGAAAGTTTGGAACAAGAAATGGTACTGCTGTCTAAGCTTTATATGTCTATAACTTGAAGCCCCCAGAAAAAGACCAAATCTCAAATTCCAAAACATATATTTGATTTGTGCTTTGTTTCAGCTTCTTGCCTAAGCATTTCCCCTCTAGCCTGGTCAGATTATGGATATGTGTTCAAGTTCTGCTAAGCATCCTGTGTTGCTTGAAAAAACAAAAACAGAAGACAATGAGGACAAATCTCAAGTCAAGTTCCAAGAAAATGAATTTATTCCCAAATTACAGGAGAATACTGTTCATTCCCAAGTTATAGGAGAATGCTCTGACACTAGAAAAGGTAATATATCCTGTTAGATAAATACATTATGATATGAATGCTTGTATAATTAGGTACATTGTAACCTTTTTCAGGAATGTGATGAGACTTTTATTATTTTAATTATTATAGAGGATTCTAAGTTTTGTAATTTTGCTCTAATGGCATTTGTGTAGGACAAATGAACAGTGCATGGGAGGTGGGAAGAGGGAGTCATCTGACCTGCTGATGTCATCTGATATAACCCTTGGGACTTGCCATTGGCCTTGTTACAGAACCCTTAAGACATTTAGACTTTCGTAACTGCCTCGTAGCTGGACTTTATCTAATGTGCTGTCTTCTCCAATTGGACTATGAGCTCCTTGAGGTCAAGGACTGTCTCATTTTAAAAAATTGGCATCTCCAGCATGTAGCATAGTACTGGGCACACATAAGTAATAAAAGTTATATTCATGTTTTACATCCAATTTGAATACCGTGATTAATAGTCGTTTTTGTTTCTAATACTGATGAAGCAATATTTAAAGGTAAAATAGTTTAATAGCAGGATCATCTTGATTCAGACCTAGATTGGATGACTTTTTGATAATGACTACTAATTGGATAGATTCAAAAAATGTATTCATTCTCCAGCTAATAAGCAGCCATAGAAACCAATTATTACAATACACGCAAAGTGTTTTGCAAACTATAAAGCTCTAAGCTAATATCAATTGTTATTGTTATTATTATCTTTAGTTTAAGTCTAACCAATAGTAATGAGTTATTAAATGAGATTAATTAATCTTGTTCCTTTCTATTCAGGACTACTGTTACTTGGACATTTACTGTGCAAACTTCCTTACGTATCTCCAGTGATCAGGACAGAGTACTTAGCAGCTTGAAATCACATAAATGTTGGAAAGGGATGTTAGACAGAAATCTAAGAGATCTTTCTGAATAACTTGGATTTTTGCATATATGAATATTCATATACATAGACATTTCACTACTACAGCTATAATGGGCTATATAAGTAAATCTGGTATTTCAGACTGGCATTAAGTGGCATTCCTCTACCTTTAAAGAACTACTTGAAAAATATTTCTAATATAATAACTTTACTACACTATTGTAAATAATAAAGTACATTTTATTTTTTTACCCACAGATCTCAGTGATGCAGGATCCTCTTCTCTTCCTACTCTCCAGAAATTTCTTCCTACAAATTATAACAGTTATACTAAGGAACATTATTCATATGCAGGCAAGAATATTATTATTCAAGAATCAATAGAGAGCTATGGAGCTGTAGTGTGGCCAGGTGTAAGTTAATTGTTAACTTTATGATTAAAATTTTTGAAATATAAAGCCACTATATTTGCCATATATATTTACCATATGTGTGTGTTTCCAACTATGTGTATCTCTTTACATATGTACACATATATATCTGTGTATATACACATATATATTATATATAGGAGAGGGAGGAAAGGAGCAAGGATTTTATTAAGTACTTTGCATTAGACACTGTGCTACTATGGTTATGTTTGACAGAATGTCCTTATTTCAAAACTCCTTTGTAGTAGGAAAAGAGTATGTTCACCCTGACAGAAAACTTGAGAATGTAGAGATAAGAATGGCTAGGAATGTTTGTGATAATATATTTGACCAACATACTGGTGCCTCAGTCTCCTAAGATCCATAAAAGAAGGGTCCTTGCTAAGTTCAAAAACTCAAGTGAATTCAAATTTCAAAATTCTGCTTTGTGAAAGGTCACATTTTCAGTTAGAAAGAACCTTCAAGGTCATCCTCATTTTACAAATGAAGAAACAGGGAAGTGATTTGCCCAAGATTAACTAGGTAATAGGTTGAAAGCTGGCATTTGAAACCAGGTCCTCTGACTTCAAATATAGTTCTTTTTTCTCTAATCTAATGAATTTGATATACTGTTCAATCAATTAGTTTCGCAAGGAGCTTGTGGCAAAGACAAGAGTGTTTGATATCTTGGGAGGAGAAATGCTTTCATGCTATAGCTCAAGCCTATTTATTAGCAGTTGGATAATACCATTATCACCATAATACAAAAAATGGCAAAAAATCATTTAAACTATATGCCCCCAAAACTCTGGAGATGGGGGGAAAAGCCATAAAAATAATGGACATATATTTACGATCCATTTAGCAGGATATTGTTCTCACCATACAAATAAAAAACAGAATATGAATCATTTGGTTAAATATGCTATTAAACATAGCGTTATTCCAGTAGTAGTTCAAATGTCATCCCAGTCACATAAAATCTCGTAAAGTAAATGGTTGACCCCATTTAGCATTTAAAGCATTTAAAATACAGACTCCTCTTTGGAAATTAAGTTGTTCAGTTGTGTCTGACTCTTTGTGACCCCAGTTGGGATTTTCTTGGCAAAGATATAGAGTGGTTTGCCATTTCCTTCTCCAGTTCATTTTACAGATGAGAAAACTGAGGCAAACAGGGCTAAATGACTTGTCCAGGGTCATACAGCTAATCAGTGTCTAAGTATGTATTTGAATTCAGGAAGATGAGTCTTTGTGACTTCAGGCCCAGCACTCCATCCACTACGCCCCCTAGCTGCCCCTTGGAAATTCAAACCTTCCCAATTTGACTCCAACCTACACTGATTATAAATTATTCCCTTTCACACACTCTTCACTCTATTTAAATTGAACTGTTCGTTGCGCTTCACAACATTTCATCTTCAGCCTCTGCACCTTTGAGTAGGTGGTTGGTTCACCCATACCTGAAATACTCTCCTAGCTCCCTTCAAGCCTCCTTTACTAACCCCTTCAAGAAGTTTTGCTCAACTTTTCCAGTTATTAATGTGCCCTTCCCCCAAATCACTTTGTACTTTTTTGAGGAGGGGGTAAGGTGAGGAGAGAGAAAGGGTATGTCTCCCTTATCTACACTTATTACCTAATATAATACAAATTAAGTGTAGAAACTGTCTCACTTTTGTATTTGTATCTCCAGCACTTAGCACAGTGCCTCGGTACAAAGTAAGCAGTAAGCGCTGATTGACCTAGAAGGTATACAAATGACATTTAAAATACAGTGCTCTTTTAGGGGAGGGGGAATCTATACCACTGATTTCACTGGTATGGGATGACAAGGGGGAGGAGTCTCCCTCTACGATGCAGAACAACCAATGTTCGCAACTTTTAGAAAGTTTTCTGGGAGTATACTTGCCTAGGGCCACACAGTCAGCATGTGTCTAGAGACTGGTCTTGTCCTCAGTCTATCTGACTCTGAGGCCAGCCTTTTGCCTACTATGGCCTCATAGAGCTCAATTTATTGCTTTAAATATTAATGCCTCTTAAAGGGTATTTTATATCTAAATATCATCCTGACATAGCCCTTCTTACAAACCTCTTTATTCCAAGGTAGGGCTACCTTGCAAAAAGAAATAGGTATAAATCTCCACTGAATCAGAAATAATACCTTATTCTAATGTATTCTAATGTAATTACTAATGTAATCACCTTGAGAACTGGTAATATAAATATTATTTATAGTATGCAGGTGAGGAAGCTGAGGAGCAAAGAGTTTAAAATGGCTTGCTTGATTTTATACAGTTAAGCTTCAAAACTGGGATCTGAATTCAGGTTTTGTGACAGAAAGCCTAGTTAATATACGTCCTTCCATACCATACTGTTTCTCTACTCTGCATCAATACAAATAAAAAATGCTTTTTTTTTTTGAGGGGAGAAAGTTGGAAAAGTTCTATATGGACCAATTTATATATGTTTACTAAATGATTATTTAAAAAAAATCTACTCCAATTCAAAAAAATATAGCATAAGAGGTAAGTTACTCAAAAAAGTTTTACAGCAAGATATTTAGAACAATTTGGGAATAGCTATGACCAGCCAAAATGAATTACTCCTATTTAGCATCACAACTTGTTTACTTTGTAGGAGCCAAGAGAATTTGATGGTCTAAGGCCACAGATAATCCTTTAAATCACTGGGGACTGCTTTAAATACTAGTATTATCATACATGACCTAATAAGACAGATTTCTTTGCTATCCTCATTTCTAAGATTCTAAAGTACAAAGATGTCTTTTAGAACTTTAAAAGTATACAAGAATTGGAGTCAGAAGGCCAGGGTTTAAATTCTTTTGCCAATTACTACTTCTACGACTTTTCGTAAGTCACTATCTGTGCCTTAGTTTTCTCATCTGTGAAATGGGAGTGGAAGAACTAGCTAAATCAAAATCACCTCAAGTTCTAAGTTTTATAATCCTGTGATCCTACTTGTCAGTGGCTGTCAAATTCCATGCTCATAGAACTTTAGGATTCCATACTTAAGGCAACTTGGAACTGGTAAGGCTATTTAAAGATCCATATATTCCAAATCTTTTTTTTTTAAACACATGAAAAGATTGAGTCCAAACAATTTCATAGGTTCATAGGTTTTAAGTTTGGTAAGGATCTTGGAGGAAGTCCAACCCCATTGTAATATAGAAACTGGGGCCTTGTGAGTTGAAACAGCTTCCTCCCAAACTAATTAAGTCTAGACTTTTGATCTCCAATCTCTTGGTTGTGTCTAACTGCAATATTTTACTCTTTCTTAGGCTGTAGCTTTGTGTCAATATTTGGAACAACACAGTACAGAGCTCAAGCTTCAAGGTGCTACAGTAATTGAAATTGGGGCTGGACCAGGCCTTGTGTCAATTGTGGCTAGTCTATTAGGTCAGTACATTATTTTATAGCTCTTCTAAACTTATGATCGTTGCAAAAATATAAGAAGCCTTTAGTGTTTTAGAATCTTTATTTTCATTAACTTAAGAAAGTGCTGAGAATTTTTAAAACACTTGTTTTAGTCCTGCAACACAGAATTTGTTCTGATGAAAGAAAATGTGATGTGAATTATTAACATAAAGGAAAAAGTAAAGTCATTTACAAAAGGCATTTTACAAAATATTACATTACATTACAAAGGCATTTACAAAATATCGACCACAGTCAATGAATATATAATGCTTAAGTATGTGACAACATGGCTACACCTGGTTATGTTCAACCTCCCCATATCTCCCCAGTATAGTATAAAACACTGTCTTTTATTTCCTTTGTATCTTCCCTGAGCATCTAACATAATTGCCCCACAGACATCAAAATATTACCTGGTAATTGCTGTAAATTTTTTTCTTTCTTTCTTAGGAGCACATGTAACAGCTACAGATCTTCCTGATGTGCTAGGAAACCTCCAATACAACATTTTTGAAAATACACACAATTGTACAGTGCATCAACCTGAAGTGAGAGAACTGGTGTGGGGGGAAGATCTGGAACTGAATTTCCCTAAGTCAGCTTACTATTACGATTTCATTTTAGCTACTGATGTAGTGTACCACCATTACTTTCTGGATAAACTGCTGACCACAATGATACATTTGTGTCAGCCAGGGACAGTGTTGCTCTGGGCAAACAAATTCAGATTCAGCACAGATTATGAATTTTTGGAAAAATTCAAGCAAATTTTCAACACAACACTACTTGCTGAATTTCCTGAGTCAACAGTCAAGATTTTTAAAGCAACACTAAAATGGGACTAAAATAAAATAGGAAAAAAAATGCATCATGTTAGTATGCCTTTTGAAGCAAACACTGATGCATCATATTCGAGGCAAAACACATAGAAGTACGTGAAAAATTAAGTAAAAAGAATTTAAGGATGTATATCTTCAAAATGCTTATTAGACATACTTAACTTCAGAAATTGTTATAGCAAATTTTACGTCTATATATGCATAGATACACATATATACACACCAAATTTTATACTAAAGAAATCCTAAGTATTACATATTTTGAAACAGTAATGTACACTTTATAATTCATATTCCAAGTACAAATTCACCTTACTGAATTTACCCTCACCCCCAAATTACCTAATCACATCTAGCTCATGTTTTTAAAACTACTGATGAAATAATATAGGGCAAAGGTATTACACACACCAAGTTGCAAATATGTCCAGAATATGGTCATCGTTTTTGAAACCTCAAATTCAACATGCTTTAAAATATGCAACTTTACACTAGATTTGTGGTATAATGGACACATGTTTTACATGATGCATTTACTCAATAATCTTCTTTAGCTAATAGCTACTACTATTTTGAAGCCATTTCTCTACACAAAAATACCACTTACACATTTAGCTGAATAAAATAAACAAACTGTATAGTATCACTTACATTGTAGGGTGAGGTTGCAAGCAGCTTAAAACCCAAACTTTCCAGGTTTGAGATTGCTTAGTGCATTACTTTCAGAATCTTTATTAGGTAGGATTTGAAACTATTGCATTCTTGACTAATTGTTACTATCCTTTAGTACTGACATTTAATATTTTTATAATATATACCAATGGAAAACCACTTTGGGGTTTATAAAAACTGACCCTACAGTCCACTGTTGAGGAAGATAATTATTCCATAATTTATATCATATTTGGCTGACTCTCAAGTATTTAGTTCAATCTGAAATAAATTATTCCAGATTACTTAAGTCACTTCAAACATCAGGCACCTACTGTGTGCAAAGCATTGTGTTTGTTTCTGGGGAGGCAAACAGGAACATCTCTGATCCCAATCTTCATGGAGCTTATTCAAGCCAATTGGACCCCTTGCTTCCATGGCACGGCCTATGGTCCAATGTAGTTCCTAGAGTATCACCATTCTACACTGATGTGCACTCAGCACACTTCAACTCCATGTTTGATGATAATGGTAATATTGCATTTACTCAAAATTGTGCTTTATGGTAATTTTGGCAGTTCAAAAAAAATAAATTCTATTTTCCCCACTCCCAAATTTGAAAAATAAAATTATTTCATAACCTTTATTCTTCAAACCTTGTTATTGAAGGGAAAGGATTTTTGTCTTACTGGAAGAGATAGTGAGCAAAGTAACCAGAGACATAAGAGAGGTGGCTCTAACAGTTTTTGCTGAGTATGTGCAAACACGTAACAAGCACATCTACACTGTGCTAAGATTGTTATATAAAAATCCTCATTCTTGATGGTTCCTCACTTTGCAATTCCCCAAATCCTTTGGTGAGCCAGCTGGAAGAGATAACTCACCCTTGCCTCTGCTACCAAGAAACTGGGAAGAAGTACTAGGGGTCTCTAACTGTATTACAATATATGCCCAACTGACTGCTGGGTCTGTCAGCACTTGCCAAAGTACAATTCTCATTTCCCTGTGTCACTTCATACCTCCCTCACAGAAGCCATTTCATACAAGTGAAAAATTCGTCATCATCTCTTGCCTGGACTATTCAGTTCCTCTTTGATCCGATGTGAAAGTGTATACCTGACCATGACATTCCCCTGTGCTTTAAGTTAAAATACCAACTCCTTTTTGGCATTTAAAGTTCCTGTGTTCCTGCCTATCTTTCCAGTGCGATTTTACATTGCTCCCTCTTCCCACTCTAGACAGACTAAACAGGCTGAATTATGGCTGCTGCTCCCTCTTCCCACTCTAGACAGACTAAACAGGCTGAATTATGGCTGCACACGTCTTGCTATTATTCCATTTCCCACGGCCCTGTTTCTAAGATCTAATGGAAAATTGTTCGGCATTCATAGCTTTCCCAAGGCAGCTCCAACGTATCTTTACAGAGTGATTTCGCCTTACTCTGTCATGCATACCATGTTCCAGCCAAACCATGTTATTTGCTGTTCTCCCACATGACGTTCCTTCTCCAGCACATAGTGGCCTAAGCCCCTCTCTCCCTTTCAGGCTTAGCTCCAGTGCTGCTTCCTTCAAAGGCATTTCTAGAGTAGAGTCCCTCCATTGTTACTACCCTCTATAACACTGCACATTTATTTTATGTCAATCTTCTATTATTTATTTTATCTGGCCTGGTATTATATAAGGTCTTTGAAGGCAGGGATTCTCTTTTGTATTCATATTCCAATCGAGGCAGACAAAACAGATACCATCTCCATTTTAAGGTAACATGACAACCACAATTACATAAGTAGTGGTGGTACCAGTAACAGCCTACTTAATGTTTACAACGTTATTACATCAATCTCATGTCAAAATAGTATTTAAAATCTAATGAAAACAGAACAAATTAATTAGGAAAATTATCAAGAGTCATTGAGCAAATGAATTGGTAGGTTATGCCTAGTGGACAAGTAACATGTTTTGGCTCCCGGAATACTTCTATTTGGTGTTATGGAGCCAATGGCACTATTTTTACTTTTCACACTGGGTTCAAAGGTGGGGATGTGAGAGGAAATAAGTGGACCTTGTACAAAGACTAGCGGTGACAATTCAAAATGTCAGTGCTTCTCATGGGCTCCTGCTTGCAATAATGGGATCAAAGGAAAGACATCAAGAACTATACTGTTGTGGGCAGGGGGGGTGTTCCTTCTCTATCTCCAACATTCTTTGATTCTGGAATACCGGTATTCAGAATACTAAAGCAACGGCCTGCCTACTAAATTAAAAAGTCGTGCATGTAATAAAAGAATTGTGTGGGTGAATATAGAATATACTTGATCATAATTACTTGTGTTTTGAGGGCTAAGAGAGAAAAACAAAACATGTTCGGCCAACTGAATAGTACAGCTAGAATTTAAAATAAATGAAATACATCACAGGTTATTGTGAAAATAATACAGATTTAGATTTAGAAGGAGACTTGAAGGTCATTTAAGCCAATCCTCTCATTTTACAGATAAGAAATGGAAACTCAGAAAGATTAAATGATTTATCCATGGGAACACAGTTGATAGGTGGCACAGACAGGATTTCAATAATTTCAATCCTACAAAGAGCATTTCAACATAAAATATTGCACTAATGAAATCTTCCCATAGGATTTAATGTATATTTCTTGCTAAGTGCTACCAGCTTTTCAAAATTTTATTTATGAAAAATTAAGACCAACTTGAAGTAGCTTCAATATTCACTTTTATTAATTATAAAAAAATTTCCTTAAGGTATCAGAGTGCATATGGTGTACTTTGATCTTCAATTTTGCACATTTATTCTCAAGTGTTTTACATTATTTCAACTTTAATAAACATACCATATGTATAGCTTTACAATACCTGATAAAGAATTAGCTGTCTGGCACTTATACATGTATCAGTTCGTCCTGATACTCTGAACTTCATGTAGATATTTTAAAAAATGATTTGCCTGAAATAAGTCCAAGATGAAGATTTATAGGAGGAGCTATGCTCCATTAAATGACACATACTAGCTGTGACAGTTTTTCATTTGAATCCTTAATTGAAATGTAAACGTTTGCCAACAACAAAAAATGAAATGAGGTTCCATTACTTTAGTCTAATAAATAATTTTAGCTACATCTAATGTAGCTTATTTTTAAGGCCTTCATACAATTGAAAAAAATGAAAGTCAAGCATTTTAAAACCCTGTCCATTTATAAAATCAAAATAGAAATTTTACAGGTTTGCAGTTCAAAGTAACAGTTAAAAACCTAATATGCATGCAATAAGCTGCAACCCAACTGAAAATCCTTGGTGCTGGCAGTAAAGACACATCCCATTGCCAGCAATGTGATGCACTAAGAAAACTTTTTGATGTCAGGGGTCTGAGTTTACATGTATTAAGCCACACACCAGTGAATTTTCTGATAAATACACATCATTTTAATAGTGGATGAACATGCATCAGAATAAAAATGTCACAAATTTGTTGTATAGGTTACTATAAAATTTTTTTTTTTTAATTTCAAGTCTCAGTTCATATTTCAGAATACACAATAATCAGGAGGATACATGATGGGGAGCCAGTTTTCAGTAAAAGATGCACAATGGGTCCATCCAAGTAACTTCATCAGCTAAAATGAAACACATGAACATATTGTTAAAATATAAAAAGAGATGACTGAACCACTTAATTCTCAATAAATTCTGCATTAAACATTTTACAATGAGAAAGAATCTACAATACAGAAAAGAGTACTTATATTAGCAGATGGAAGTAAAAGGAAATAATTTTTCATTATGGCTTAAAATACATTTGATCTTCTAGGCTACTGACTAAATAACAGTCCATTTCAGGTAGACTGAATCTGCTTCTTAGATGCCAAAGTAACGTCAAAGCAGGCCTGAGATAAAGGAATTTGAACTTAGATACCCAGAATTAGGCTGGCCAGTCATATCTACAGTTAAGCTTTAGTAATTTCAGACAAGTAAAACAGACTCAATTGTTTTTATTATTTTCTGTATCCTCTCCCCTGACCCCTGACTCCCCTTTTTGGAAGAGGTAGCAAACACAGATTATTTTTTCCTAGCTGTCTCTTCTATATGACATCACTTTTCTATACTCTCGACAAATGGTCCTTCCTCCAATTTCTATTTTGCTTTCCTATTTTTTCTTAGCTCCTTTTCTATTTACTGGAAAAAAGCCAGAGATCAACCAAAAGATAAAAATTTCAAACAATCGAGTACTTATTAGCAGTTAAAGAAGTACTAAGTGTCTAATGGCCATTCTTGAATAGGTAAGTGGTCAAAGAATATGAACAAACAGTTCTCAAAAGAATTCCAAAGTATTTGCGAACACATAAAGAATGCTCCATTCTTTCACTAATGATGAGAGAATGCAAATCAAAATGAACTGGAGGTTTTACCTCAAGTCCTGAAGATTGGCAAAGATAATAAAAATGGTAATAGTCACTGTTGGAGAGCCTAGAGAGACAGGCACACTGATGCATTGTTGGTAGAGCTATAACATGTAAAACAAAATGTACATCCATTTGAGAAAGCAATTTGGAATTATGAAATAAAGTGATTAAAATGTCCATACCTCTCAAACCAAAGACTCTACTACTGGGCTTATACTCTCAAGAAAGCCATTGATAGGAAGAAAATCCCATATATACAAAAAATTTTATAGCAGCACTTTTTGTGACAGCAAAGAATTGGAAATAAAATAGAGGCCCATCTACTGGGGAATAGCTAAAGAAATTGTGGTACATGAAGTTAATAAAATGTTACTGTGCTGTAAGAAATGTATGTAATGAAAAGAGAGAAGCTCAAAAAGATCTACATGAATATAAATGGAAAAAATAATCACACAAAAACAAAATCAGAAGTGTAATTAACAAAACTGAAAAGCTCTCAAATGAAGAGATAGGAAAAGACACCTCTAGCTCACCCTTTTTTGGAGATGTGAGGTTCATAGACATTACAAATCTTTTTGGTTTTCAATATACTGATCAGTTTGTGCTAATTTTTTCCCCTCTCTCCTCTTTTTTATTTTGTTTTTAATAAATATTACTTGTTACACAGGATGTCTTTCTGGGAGAGGAAGGATGCTAGGGTTAACTATAATGATGTAAAAACAGAAGACATCAATAAAAAACCTATTAAAACTAGAAGTATTTAGTATAACTTCTAAGGACAAGGTGATGAAGGGTAATAACAACTATGCTTCACCATAAATTGCCCCAAGAAGTCTTTGTTAGATTATGGAATAATATGGATCATTAGTTTGGTAAGTACGGCAAATTAATGGCATCTCCCTTATGTTCTTATTGATAAGAAAACATATACTTCCAAAGTGGCAGGTACTTCCTAAATCTATTCTGCACTTAAAATCAGTCTTCTAAATTTCTTTCATTATACCTTAACATATAAACAGACATGATTTTTATGTAAAGATATAATTACTAATCATTTTAGACAATATCTTCACTGAATTCAAATGTAAGTTAGTATAAAATTTTTTCTATCAAGGATTGCTATACAGTCCTTAAAATGAGGGGAGAGAGTAATTGCTCTATGAAGAGATGACTAATGTAACCTCTCATTTTCTTTTTTCCATAGGATCTACCTCTAATTATACAGTTAGTGG